CCCATGCCACGCCATTCCCCGGCGACCCCCCACCCCCACCCCAGACCTGTCACAGCCCCCCCTGCCGGAGTACCTCCTGATACTCTGGCATATCCGATAATCCGGCATCCCCTGTGTCCCAAAGGTGCCAGATTATCGGAAGCCTATTGTATTCGACTACATGCTCACATCCCTACTGACAATCATACCCAGATTTAGATGCCTCACCTCCACAACAAATTCTCTTTGCATTTTTAGCATAAACCTGGAATTTTAATTCTTCAAGGAACAATCTAAAATACAGCTTTAACTTTCACCTGAGACTTTCATGGGTAACTTTCATAACACATTAGATCTATTTTTAAAGAATGACTGCTGGTAAGATACCATAATTTTCCACAAATCAAAAGTAAATACATTAGCTCACATTGGGTATTAGTATAGTTTAAATATTACCATCTTTATCAGCAATATAGTCAACAGAAATGTATTTATATTTTATTTTGATAATTAAAATTATTACCTGTCGATGCATGGAGTCTTTATTAGCAATTTCATTTTCAAGTTTATCATTGAGGTCATGCACAGATGTAGCTTCACGCTGTGCAGCGAGGTAGCGTTTTTCAAGAGTTGTAATTCTCTCTTCCATATCTTCCTTTTGGGCCATGGCCTGTGTTATGAGAAACATTTGTCAGAATAAAAGAGGTTACACATTTGCTTATTAAAATATATGAATTATTTATTTAATAATATAGGATAAAACAGTACCAAATATTTTTTCTTACATATAGCAAATTGAGTAAGTGTAAATATTAAAATATTTACAGTACCAAATATTTTTTCTTACATATAGCAAATACAGTACATAAGTAGTACTGTATTATCAAATTACAAACTTACTTTAACATGAAAAAGGACTAGCATAGAGTCAAATAGTGAATTACAGAATGCTTATTTACCTCAGAATCATTACAAGCATAGATAAGTCTATATCTGGGAACTGACAGAGTTCATTCCTCACCTCTCGTACATCTCTTTGCAACTTTGTATTCATTTCTTCTGATTTTATTAAATCTTTTCTAGCTGTGTCAAGATCTTCTTCCAACTCTGTTACTCTGCTAGAAAGAGCAGTGAGACGTTCCTTCATTTGGCCTTGCTCGTTGGTCTGCTTGTCTATAATTTCTTGGAGTTCTATAACTTTAGCAAGATCTTCATCATGGCTTGAAGACCCATCAGAAGATCTCTATTACATTAAAAAAAACAAAAACAACAGCTACCTTATGATTCCACACTACAGAGCTTTGAAATATAATATATTGCTTCAATATAACAAAGCTAGTTAAAGTTAGTTTGTGTAGTCTAGCCCATAAAAAAATTGTAATAAATAACCTTTTGCTTTAATTATATTCTTAAAACTGGACAAATATCAACTCTTACTTCTCAAAAAAAAACC